CACTTGGACTAACTGGGAATAAATGTCGGAAACACCAATCGAAATGAAATCCTGATAACCACCATACTGGCTGGAAGCCAAACGTTTTTTTTCCCGAGACATCAAAGAAATGATTTATCCAGCTTAGTGCAAGGCGATACAAGGTTTGAGACTATTATAACAGTACTTTTATGGTTTATTTCTACCTATGTATAAAGATACCAAACTCCTTTTTACGTAGCAACTTGGAGTTTGACGTGAAGCATTTATTTGATTTTTGATTCATCAATGGACTTGCACTTGTAGAAGAGTGGGGTTTGTGTTGAAATAACTTAAAAACTAACGTTTTGAGCCAGTTTGGCGGAAGTGCCCCCTCCCTGCCCCCCATACGTCACTGGGTATGGGCACAACAACTTCTCTCTCCCCGCCCCCAATAAACTAATTTGAACAGATGCGTCGGCGGGCTGGGGTAGGGCATTCAGTTTGTCGTTAGATGTCAATATTTGTTCATTGTGAACAGTGGCAGGTGTTAAGGTGCGTAGTAATCCTCCAAGCGCTTGAACCTCCTTTTTGCATGAGACATCCGCAAGTTGAAGGTCGTCCCATTGAAATCAGTCTGGCGACACCCATGCTAAAAGAGTCAGTAAAGATTTCGAAGTGATTGTTAAAACTGCATTTCCATTTTGTCATTGTCTAAATGTAGAGAAGTGGAGAAGTACATGTATACGGGTTTCTTAGAGACAGTATTTTTAAGTCATTAAGTTACCTCAAATCACTCTAATAGTGTGATCTATTCTTTAGCTTGGTGATATCTACATACGGCTCAACATATATGGCTCAACATTTGTTACGCAATGAACAAATTTGGTCAGGCTTTATATTAGTGCATTTGTTATGTCGTATTTTCTATGAACGTGTTTCATCAAGCACAGTAACTTCCAATGTTGTAGGTCTCGAGCAGTGGCGTAAATTTGTGTTTGGCATGAGGGGTGGGGAAAGGTGAGGAGGGGATGACTTTAATGTTGACAGTGGGGGATGGGGCGACACAATATGACTCTACATAGAGGTCGATGCTTATGCTATTAATGTACATCTGTAATATACATTCAGAATGGCCTATTTATAGCTTTTTAAAATTGTTTCGCTTTTTGAATAATCTTGAATGCATTTTAGCCGTTGGAAGTCTGAAAAATTCTTCACAATTCACTTTAATTTTTTGCTCACCACAAAAAGTGTGTGTCTGGGGGAGGATTCAATAGCCCATCCCCCTCAAAAAGTAGGGGGTATGTATATTCCCCCCCCCCGGATTTACGCCCATGGTCTCGAGACCTGGTCTCGGTCTCGAGAACGTCTCGAGATTTTGTTGAGGTCTCGGACTCTCGTTCTCGTCGTATCCGAGTCTCGGTCTCAGGAGGGCTGGCTTCGGCCGGGTCTCGAAAGCACTGCTCTCAGTCTTGGTCCGGTCTCACATGTCAAAGTCTCAGGTCTGCCGCTCGATCCTGTCGAGACCACAACAAAATGCGCATCTATAGTCCTTGCATGTTTGTGTACACGTACGTGTGTACATGCAACGCATAATTATATAGCTTGCCGGGCGCGTTTCACGTATATGCAACATGCTGTTTTAGTTACGCGAAATGTCCCCTTTTGTGATATCATTAACTTCACAAATTTCAAATTGGAGAAACATTAGTGCCCTACTGCCCTGCCATGTCAAATTAATTGGCAGCGGTGCTGTTTGGTATAAGGTTTTGGTGTAAGAAGTACAGGGAATTGGCGAGGAGCAGAAAAGAGGGCAGGAAACACTGTGCATAATGCACGTTTTGCACGAAGACCATTTCGGAAACCTTAGTGCGGGATAGCTTCTGCACTTACACGACACCTTAAAGTAAAATTAGTTCACGTTTTGGCTGCAGGAACACACAAAGTATCCCTCTTTGAGCAACGTAGCAGTACTAGTCCTATCTGTGCCAGCTTTGAGTGCTCCGGTTGAGCGAGTGTTTAACACAGATGGAATTATAATGCGTCAGCACAGAGCCAGATTTTCACCTAAAATGCTTGGAGCTCTCTCTTGTGTTGCTAATTGCATGTGTAGACGTGGAAGAGTATGTTAAACCTTATTCTGTGTTTCTTTTCCTCATTTGTCATCTCAGTAGTATTTGGGTACATGGATTCATTTTTTCTTAATGTTTTGCTCTCAAAAACAGTCTATAGAAAAGATATTTGTTTTACTTGGGGAAATGCCATATCAGTACGTAAAATGATTTTTTCCCTGCTGATTGACCCTTCTAGCCAGTCCTGATAAAGCAAACCTAGACATTCATCATTAAAATTAGGATCATTTCAGATTTTGCCATTTTACACATCATGCATGCCCAAATAGGTTTCTATGAAACATGTACATGTATAAGTATGCTTTAATCTCAGTTAAAATTAAATGCAAATCGTCTTGTGAGTTCATGGTCATAATAATCATATGCCTGCTGACAGTATTATTGACAAATCAAAAGTCGGTAGCTCATCACAACTACATTGTATTTCCCAGAGGTAAACTAAAAAGTTGTCGAGTCTTCAAATAATTAACCGATTTATGTTTGATTGTAATGCCTTTATTTTATATACTTAGTATAGTACATTTTTATTGCCTTATGTTGCTTGTCCCCATTTCACTTTCTTGAACATTTTGATGTTTGGTCTCGGTATCAATCTGCAAAAGTCACGCATGGTCTTGAAGGAGTGTTCTCGGTCTTGGTCTTGAAAGAGTGGTTTTGGTCTTGGTCTCGTTCTTGAAAGAGTGGTCTCGGTTTTGGTCTCGGTCTTGAAAGAGTGGTCTCGGTCTTGGTCCTGAATGCCTTGTTCTCGGCTCGGTCTTGGTCATCAGACATCAAGGTCTCGGACAAAGTGTTGCCAAGGTCTGCAGCTTCAGAAATATGAAACAAACGACTGCCGCAGTCTCTTGTCTCCACTGGAATCTACACTTTCCTAACTTGGAAGAAGCAATTCTCCCAGAAGGAAATCCTAACATGCAGACCTCTGTAAACGAACGGTCATTCCATACCGGGTTTGTAGTGGTGCGTTCAGTTGGTATAAAAATAACTGCCAGAGTATCATCTGGAACCGAATGCCTGTGCTATGTGCCCTGCTGCCTCTCGTATCCTCCGGCCGGCCGCTAGGCCTATGTATCAGTTATGTAGCCCCTGACTAAACTGAAGACTTCGAGCCTTGAAGTTCCTCAAACACTGAGATAACGTGCCATTTCCCCGCATCGTTAAAACGTCCAGTAACCTTAATTGTACCCCAGTCCAAGTTACGGCAAATGTAATACATTACTCTTCTCACGAACATACATCCTAATGTGGGTGAATTCAAACCCTTATAAAATTGTTTTAGGTATGGCCCCCGCTGTCCCCGATCCACCTTTAGTTTGTTTCCATCATCGTGCATACATCTAGGCAAGAGGTCCAAGTCGTGATTTTTTTTCCATAAAAAGTACAGCACATGTATCTGGACAAAAAAGCTTTTCTCTATGTGTTCGGTTGCTCCACCTTGAAGCTCGCGGCGTGTATTTCTTCCCTCAATGCTATGAGCCTAGCCCTACTATACTTGGAAAAGTCACTGGGGCATGCCTCAATTGATGTACATCGCCCTCCATCTGTTGCATGTTATTGGCCCTTACTTTTTGTTCCTAAATCGTGAAGAGAATTTCTATTTTGGGTAGAAATATGAAAATTAGAAAAGAGATTCAGCGCCTGACATTCGACTCCTCCCCCTCCCTTGTCCAGGTCTTTAATTAATTAAATGGCACAACGGTGCCTGTTGACGTCATTTTTCCGTACCAAAATATTCCGAAGACGTCTGGGTGGTAGACAGAGTATTAGTCAGGTCCCCCGATGACATCAGTTGCCCAGTCGTTCCATTATGAGCTAGACGTCAAGGCTAAGACAAAGACATATTGTCAAACGGGAGGAAAATGTCGAGTGTTGAACAGCTCGGTTCGTGCTTGGTTTGAAGCCCAAATCCTCCAAATGGACTCTCCAAGAAATAGGGATTGAATCGTCTCCATTCAGTTGTGGTGGTTGTTAACACAATGGCGGGGATTAAACAGAAAGGCGGTGGAAATCGTGAGGCAATACGAGTGCAAGTTATGGTGAGTAGGTTCCATAATCCATTTGCCATGTCAGCACCAGAGACAGTGCTTAAATGTCATGTAGGCCTAGGTCCAACTATGGAGCTGTAATTGTATAAAACACACCGTTTTAATAGCTCCTTAGTCCAACAGACATTACAAAAATCACATCATACATGTCATTGGCCCTATTGGGGCCAACAGTGTGTATAGGCTGGCCCTACCTTGCACTTTTTGGGGGAAAACGGCATGGTTTTACAGCCCTTTTCTTTCTTGATACTCAAAACAAAGGTATGTAAGCAGTCTTACATAAAACTCTTGGGGGAAATGAAGCAACATATCTATCGGTACACAACTTGAATGGAATTGCTGTTCGTGCCCTGTTAAACATCATGCATAGCCTATGGCAAAAAGGCTCTTTTTCTGTGGGGTTCGTGGGAGAGGAGTGGACGTCGGACCCCACAGTTCTGGGGGTAGGCTGGCCCATGGATGAACCTACTTTGAGAACTCTAACTTCAAGTCCAAGTCACTTCTCTGTGTGACTTAGTTATAGCCAACACGGTTTAGATGGTGTCGTAACGCTATGGGGTTTTGAAAAGTGCTCTGCCAGGGTCAGGTAGTTGTACCTGAGAAAACCTTTGTTTACGCTTTTTGGAGCAAATCTACCCCTAAAGACCCTCATACATGTCATAATGAACTTCTAACTATATCGGACATCCAGGTTCGAGTGTATTTTCTAGGATTTAACCTATATTATTGTCAAAAAATGAGGTGTTTTCCTACCATTCTTACCTCATCCTTTGACGATCCGCGCACATCTGCATTCTCTTAGGGCCGTAAGTCGTGACAAAACAGACGCAGCATATTTGCGTAATAAACGTTTATGTTGCTTTGGATACCAGTCCCGATAATTCCGTCGACTCTCGTTAAGATTACATGTATGCATAGAGACGTCTGGGAATCTGTGGTCAGGGAACCGCACTAATCACATATTGGCTCAACCATTTCGGAAGCAGGAGAGGCGGCATTGTCAGGGCGTGTGACACACACTGTGTTATCAAGCTAGCTCTTTACACAGGTTTAAAATGTTGAGAAATATGTACTTCAGGGAGTGCTAATATTTTGCAAAGAAACAGTTGTGCAGTTGTGGGACTAATACACTGTCCATTTTCCATGTAATTTGGGGATTTATCTATTGCAAAATTGGTCAAGCCAATATGTGATTAGTGATGTACACATGTACCAGTACACGGATCCTCACAACTACAAACAACTTTCCTTTCTGCTGTTTGAAGTGCACAGGGGATCTACATGTAGTGATCAGAAATCTGATGATCACCATTTTTCAGTCGCATGTTCACAATGCTTTTCTGTTCGCAATAGGACTCTATATCGGTGTGTTTTTCCCTTGACCACTGTATTTATAAACATTGCGTAGTCAATGTTGTCTGAAGGCTTGTAAAAACATTCACCAGCTGACATGTACTTGGGCAATAGGATAATTTGTTTATAAATCTCCAGGCATGTTTTTGTAATGTGAACTTCATGCTGTGATAATGAAGGGCAATAACTTACATTTGGGGCTAAAAAAACAGACCAGTCTGAGTGAATCATAAATTTTCTGGAACAGATCAGTATGCTAGCCAATCAGAGCTAAGGAGCCACTGATCAGAAAACCAGCCA